CTGCCATTAAAAGACGATTTGGCACTTTCATCATGTTAATTAGAAGACTTGATTGTAATTTTGATATAAAGGTCTTAAATACTCAGAGCAGCCATAGTTCACAATGTTGATGCCCATGACCTCATTAGCATGGGATCCAATGACATTGATGTGTTAAAGAAAGTTGACATTCCATCTGTCTTTATTGGTGAATCATCAGCTGATTCCTTGAAAGATAAATTTGCATATGAAAAAGGGGGCCACATTATCTTGGTTCCAAAGTTTAGTCTTCCTCTGGAATACTACCTAATTCCCTTCCTTATCATAGTGGGCATTTGTCTCATCTTAATAGTCATTTTTATGACCACAAAATTTGTCCAGGACAGACATAGAGCTAGAAGAAACAGACTTCATAAAGATCAACGTAAGTTCCCTATACATAAATTCAAGAAAGGAGATGAATATGATGTATGTGCCATTTGTTGGGATGAGTATGAAGATGGAGACAAGCTCAGAATACTTCCCTGTCCCCATGCTTATCACTGCAAGTGGGTAGACCCTTGGTTAACTAAAACCAAAAAAACTTGTCCAGTCTGCAAGCAAAAAGTTGTTCCTTCTCAAGGTGATCCAGACGCTGACACAGATAGTAGTCAAGAAGAAAATGAAGTATCAGAACACCCCCTTACTTAGACTTTTAACGTCTGTCAGCACTCAGTCCTTCGGAGTGTTGTCAGAATCCCACTCACATCAGAATATGACAGCATCTTCAGACTATGAGAAAGATGACAATGAAGATGCTGATAGCAGCGATGCAGAAAACGAAATTAATGAACACAGTGTTGTGGTCCAATTGGAGCCTAATGGGGAACAGGATTGTGACACAGCAAATACTGTTTGACCTTGATTGGTTTATTTCCCTTTAACACATTTATTTAGGTATATACTTTGATTTTTTTGCTCCCTTCAGAGATTTCTGTAGACATAACATTTTTTTAGTATTCTACAAGTTAATCAGATTGCTGAAACAGGCTTTTTGACCCAGTATTTAACTGCAGAAATATACTTTATTTCACTAGTAAGTAATTATAGACTGGTTCTATAACTCAAGCATCAAATAGGTTCTTTTGGGATGAAATATAGCCAAAACATTAAAAAAAATCCTCAGTTACCTTGCAAATAAGACCTAGATCACAGTATATACATGCTTTATGTACTATACAGGAGGTCAGTGCTGCGGCCATCTATCATGAGCTAAGTCAACGCCCACCTCCATGAGATTACCTAGAGTTGAGCTGGAATATGTTTGTTCTGATAATTCCTCAAATTGGCATCAAAAGGTAATTTAGCAGCTTTTTTCCAATCAGCACTACAAAGAATCTCAAAGCTGTCTTTTTTTTTTCCTACTCCCAAGCAGTCTTAGACTGACGGGAATGGTCTATACTAGCAGAATGCAGAAGGGTTTTTTTTTTTTTTTTTTTTTTTGAGAGGTTTTTGCTATAGGGTGTGTGCGCTCGCCAGACAGAGAGAGACAGAGAGATAGAAAGCGAGAAATCACCCCCCAGGGGGGATGGCCATGCCGCAATCCCTTCTCCTCTATTCTCCTCTCAGGATCTTGGGCACGTATGCACACGTGCCTGGCGTGAGTTTTAAGTCACCGGGTCTGGGACGCAAACCACGGTCGACTACGTGGGAGTCCAGCGACATAGCCATTACGCTAACTGCTAGTCCCAGCAGAAGTTTTTCTTTAAAGGTTTTTAATACAATAGAAGTATGTACAAATTTTACTCAGCTAAAATAATGTCTCTGGACTTCACATACTGTATTTCAGTATCCGTAAGAGTTTTTTGTTGTCATTGTGATCAAAGTAAAAAGATACCGCATAAAAAAGATACCACATACCAAATTTCAGCAACTGTTAATACTTAGATTTTATACTTCTTATAAAAAGCATCTTATGCGGGAACCAGCAGTTAGCATAATGGCTATGTCGCTGGACTCCCACGTAGTCGACCGCAGTTCGCGTCCCGGACCCGGTGGCTTAGAACTCACGCCGGGTGCGTGTGCGTGCATGCCCAAGATTCCGGGAGGAGAATGGAGGAGAAGGGATTGTGGCGTGACCATTCCCCCTGGGGGGTGATTTCTCGCTTTCTGTCTC